TGTGCTCTCTCTGAAGTGCTCTTAAGGCATGCAGCTGTGCATGACGTGCGAGCAGTGAAATGCTCATGGATATCAGAATGCTTGTATTCTGCAAAATTGATGTAAACACTGTAATCTTACAACAGAGGGGACAAAACATCTGGTAGACAGTCTATTAGACCCGCTGTAATCAAACAGCAATAATTCAGAGGAAAAGAAAAATCACTCACTGCTCTTTTCTGGAAAGCTTTTAGATACCTAAAGCACTCTTTGTTTATTGCTTGTGTTTCTTTGTTGATCTCTAATACATTTACTTGCATGTTTTTAAACTATAGTTAAATGAAAATCAGTTTTTTTTTTTTTTTTTCAAAACTACATTCTATTTTTACTATTCTGATTATGTAAGTGCATAAATAGATAAAAAAAAATTAAAGTAGCTCGACAGTTAAAAAGCAGTGTTCATGTTTTTCATTTTTTATATTAAACTTGATATCAAGAATTATTGAATTTCACTTCATGTGATGCATCAAAAACATTTTATGTTTTTATTTTTTTTATTAAACCTTTGAATCATAGTCAAATCAAATCTTGGTAGTCATGAAAATGCAAACTTTTCCGATTAACTAATTATTATTTTATGATTAATTGCTTTGCATGCCAATTTTTTTGCATTCAGTTTATAGTTACTTGTTATCACAGTCTTGCTGCAGGACACAATGTAGTGCAGTTCAGAATATGGATGGATCAGTGGCTCTGAACCGTTCCCAAAAACGGGTAAAACAGGTCTTTCTTATCTGTCCTGGGTCTTGCAGCAGGGGGAAAAAACATATGATACCAAAAACATGGTATTATATATACCAAATGTCCAAAATATGTACAGTAGTGAATGAAATATTAATAAACACAAGATAATTAAGGAATAAATATATAAATATGAGAACAGTGTGTTGCACAGCTACAGCAGTAGCTGTATGAAGTGTATAGTCCTTAGTATACCACACCCTTTGAAGCTTGTGATTGAGTGATATGTCTTTTATTAATTGGAGTTCAGTTCTAAGATGGCACGTGGATAAAAACTGTTCCGGAGTCTGGAGGGATCTGTAGCATCTTCCAGAGGGCTGCAGAGTGAAGAGGTGGTTGCCGGGGTGGGAAGAGTCCTTTATTATACTTCTGGCCCGTTGTATGCATCTGGTGCTGTAGATGTCAGCAAGTGAAGGCAGCTGTGCACCAGTGATTTTCTGTGCAGAGTTGATGACTCTCTGCAAAGCTTTTTTCTCAGCCATAGTGCAACCAGCATACCACACCAGAATGCAATGGGAAAGTATGCTTCCTACTGAACAGTGGTAAAAGGACACAAGCAGCTGCTGAGACAGGTTAGTTTTCCTCAGCGAGTTGATGACTCTCTGTTTTCTCAGCCATAGTGCAGCCAGCATACCACAGAATAAGAAGAAAATGCTCCATATGTTGACTTTGTTGAATCAAATTCATCTGTTCATTGGTAAAAGCTAGCCAAGTGCCAACAATCTGGCCAGATGCCGACGTCCCTGAATAAAACTACAAGGTAAAAGAAAAATATGACCAGACTACGTGACATAAGGGTTCACATTCGGTATGGACACGCATTGGTATCATTCACTGAGCATGCATACACACGAATCTGTGTGTGAAATCTGTGCACAAACATTCTCATATAGATGAAGACTTCAGATGCAAAAAAGTGAATAGGGAAAGAAAATATATTTCAATATTCCTATGAAATAGTATATATTATTATGAAAATCTTGTCAATTATTACTCCCATTATTACACTTCTTTTTTCATTACATGTTGCCCCAAAAACACATTAATATGCAAATTAGATTTAGTTTATAGATACATTTATATATAATGAGAAAACCTGTTTATGGCCATTTTACACACATTTTGCATGAAGAAAAATGGTATATCAAATCATTCTGTTGTAACATAAAAAAAACTAAAAATGTATTGGTGATTTAAAAAAAAATCTATTGTTTTTGCCTATGCATGTTCATTCATGTCTTTTTATTTTATTAAAGAAATTGAGTCCCGATGTCCTCTACCAAAAAATGGTTTTTAATGCTCTAAACAATGTAATGACATCCTAAAACATTTTGCTGAGTCTTAAGAGGTTAAATGAGCATTTTATCAGGCTCCTATGTTAAGGTTGAGCAATTTCACTTTAATGGCAAAGAAAAGGATATTAGGCAGTTACTGAATGCCTAATTTTCAAAAATTTCCAATGATATTTTCATCAGGAGCCTGATTAAAAAAAGCTAATTTGAAAGAAAATTCAGAGGTTTTTGCATCTGAAATCTTCATATATAAATCGAGAGATAGAGCTCGAAAGGGAGAGGAACATATATGCATATATACCTTTTACACAGAACTAGAATATAAATACATAGCATAATTTGTCCAGAATGATGCATGGCTGTAAAGGAAAGGTTGTGCAGAAAGCCCTTATATGGGAATGTTTTGGGTGTGTTTTCTGCAAATTACTAACCTCTGTCACACTATTTTTTTGTGAGAAGTTCTCTTATGCGTATGAATACAAAAAATCCACTCATTTATTACTGAACGAGTCCTATTGTTTGTGCCGAGCACAATGTGTTTTGTGTGGTGAGGATAGTGGCTGCCGAGAGCATGACATCATTTTATTGGTCAAAAAGTGAGATTTAGTAATAAGTAGCTAAACATTTGTGACCCTGCAGCACAAAAGCAGTCTTAAGTCGCTGGGGTATATTTGTAGCAATAGCCAACAATACATTGTATGAGTCAAAATTATAGATGTTTCTTTTATGCCAAAAATCATTAGGACATTAAGTAAAGATCATGTTCCATAAAGATATTTTGTAAATTTCCTACCGTAGATATATCAAAACTTAATTTTGAATTAGTAATATGCATTGCTAAGAACTTCATTTGGACAACTTTAAAGATGATTTTCTCAATATTTAAATTTTTTTGCACCCTCAAATAGTTGTATCTCAGCCAAATATTGTCCTATCCTAACAAACCATACATCAATGGAAAGCTTATTTATTCAGCGTTCAGATGATGTATAAATCTCAATTTCGAAAAATTGACCCTTATGACTGGTTTTGTGCTCCAAGGTCACATATTACTGGGCACTATGCAGTTCATGATAATGTTAATGCATTTCAGTTGTAGCTTTTTTTTTCAAGGAATCATTCAGGACTTGTTTTTAAATTTCTCCTTTAGTGATCTGAAAAAGAAAAAAGGTCACAGCTTTAGAAAAACAAATCATTTTTAAGTGACCTATCACTTCAGGGACTTGTTGGATTGCTTTTGTACTATGAACAATGCTACTGTGTTGACTCACTTGATGCCACGTTATAATATAATTAAAAACCAGTTGAGAATCACTGGTATAGAGCATTTAGTAAATTGGCCTTGTTTTGTGTTTTCTATCATTCAGGTGTGGACGACACCCGGTCCTGATCCTGTCCGTCATCTTCATGTTCATTTTCGGCATGACGGTGGCCTTCTCCGTCAACGTCCCGATGTTCAGCACCCTGCGCTTCTTTGAGGGCTTTTGCTTAGCAGGAATCACGCTCTCGCTCTATGCTCTGAGTAAGTATAACGTCTGAGATGAACCAGCTTTATTAAGAGCTCTGGTCCAGAAGACATTTACATTTACTGAGGCATTATCCGTCATTCTTTGTGCAACAAGCTTGTATAGTTTGTTTCAAGGGAATACATTTACTTACAATTGCAATACGAATAAAAAAATATATGCACGTCAACATTAAATATACAGAATGATGCACATATTATGTACAAGTACATTAACAGACCGAATGCTGTAAGATAGAGATGCAGTTTGAATGAGCTGTCTTTGCATATCGGCATTGCAGTTCAATGCTTGATGCAATTAGCTTGTAACAATTTAGCTAGTTGTTGATTGTATCTATGGAAATAATATATTTTAAGTTTATTGCAAAATATGCATATTTATACAAATATATAATTTCGATGCATAGGGAGGCTGTGTCAGTTACTTCATTTGCATAGTGGGCGGAGCTAAAAAGCTGTTGGCTGTAATTGGTGGAATTGTCTGAACAGCATTATGGGTAATGTAGTTATTCTACTAATTCCACTATTAAACATGATTATTTTAAAAATAAGTTGAATCAATGCACATAGATCACATACACCATTACTTAACAACCTCAGAGCTCACAACAGGTCTGCCTTTTGTCAGTTATTGTTAAAAATCCATTTCCCTGTGGAGAAAATGAATGATTTTACTTCCAGAACCCGACTTTGAATAATAGTAGAATATAATGCAGTCAGTTTCTCTCTCCTTTCCGCTTTGATTCGCTTTCATTTATTCATTCCACACACATTCCTGTCATGAGTGGATGGCAAAGTGGAGGCGCAGATACTTTGTTCATGCTCTCTTTCCACGACTGCATTCCCAACCCAGCACTGTTGGAAAACTGATTATGAATGATTATCAACCCAGTTTCTTCACCCAAAAGCCTCAACCCAGGGGTCGGTTTGAAAAAATCATCCAGCCTTATAAGCAGCATCTAAATGAATGTGTATGATTTGTGTCTCTCACATGAAGGTCTTACCCTTAGAATGTCACAGAGGTTAATTGTGGTCTCTCAACTCTATCGTACTGTCTTCTCAGTTTGTTAGAGTCATTCAGATGGATTACCCACAGACTAGCAGTGACCTTCTACATGCTTAACAGTGAAGACATTTTCTGATGAGTGATAATCCTCTTTAGATGATGGCCCTTCCAGTAATAGGGTTTGCCAGCAATGCCTCACCTGACTGTCTGATGGCCTCGAAAAGCTTTAACTCCATGCTGTAATTGCCTTACAGTGAGTACGGTGGGCCTTCATTTCCTTGTCATAGTCATTTTCTTGACCCCCATCTACCTTGAAAAGGCACTCCCAAAAATAGACCCGGCCTGGACTATTGGTGTGCATTAAATAACTATTGTTGTTTTGATATACTGTGCATTGATTATTGTTTTATTTTCTTTCCACTAATCAAACTTTTAAAGGGATGGTTCACCCAAAAATGAAAATGGTCTTCATTTACTCACCCTCATTTCGTTCCAAACCTGTATGAGTTTCTTTCTTCTGTTGAACACAAAAGAAGATATTTTGAAGAATGTTGGTAACCAAAGAGTTGACGGTAGCCATTGACTTCCATAGTATGGGAAAAAATGAATAAGAACAATGGCTACCGCCAACTCTTTGGTTACCAACATTCTTCAAAATATCTTCTTTTAGTATAGTAAAATACCTTGGATGAGTAAAAGATGACAGCATTTTAATTTTTTTTTAATTCGTATTTTGTCATCTCCTAGTCAACTTGAAATATGAAGATGTATTAAATGGCATACATCTGCTGTTATATAATATATTTGATTTAATGCAGTGCAATGACTGTTTGCATGTATTCCCTATTTTCCATGCTAGTTTTATATATCTTTTTAAATAATTTTTTTAATATCCTATAAAGTTTTAGTCATTATTTATAATTTTCTGTGGAAAAATTATGCATACAAAAAATAAATAAATCAAGGCTACCCTTTTCGTACAACAAATAGGACAGGGTGCCAAAACTCCAAAAAGCACTATAAAGTATCATAGCAGTAGTCCATATGCCTTAAATTTGAAGTCTCTTGCAGTCATATATGATAACTTGGTGATGAGCAGACCATAATTAGTTATTCACTGATAATCACCTTCCTCCAGTGCTCGTAGATTGTTATTCAAACTTGGTGGGTGAAGAGAAGCCTCACCATTGGTTCTTATACTGGGGGCTGTTGCTATGCAAATTTCTTACTTTTCTAAAGCTTTGACAACCCGAACCTGGACGAGACTAAAGGACGAGATTAAATACTGGAGATACAGATGGAAAGCAGCTGTGGAGAGTAGACAAAAAGACAAACCATTTCTCTAAACACTTTTTAAAAATTTTAAAGTGAACTATGTTTCTTGTAGCTTCTCGTGTAAACACTGTTCAGAACCGCTGGAGAAAAATATCCACTATAGCATTCCCATTCATCTCCGTTGTGGCAGTATGTGATGTGCATGCTGCCATATTTGCACATGGTCAATTTTTAAGCCAACAACCTGAGCTGTAAATGCCATGTGACTAATTAAAGCTGCAGGACAATTACATCACGACAACACAAGAATGCACGCTTAACTAGTGACTGTCCTGAGATGTAATGTAAAAATCAGACATCGTAAACGGCATGAATTAATACACCCCCTCTGAACATCAATACATTTTTATTTCTTAATGATAATTATTGGAATTTATGGGAAGCTGAAATGAATGATACAAATTATTCTGCTTAAATTAAGATTGCAAAAATGAGTACAGCTTTGATCAAATTCAATTAAATGTGAAATATAGAATGTAATATGTTCTCCATATTTTTAAGTATACTGATCTGATCCTTCTTGGCATTGAGTGTACAAATTCACAGAAAACTGTCACATCTGTCCTGTTTAACTCCTGGAGGACGACCTCCTTAAATGATTTTATAATGTCATTGTCATGTTGAAAAAAAAGCCCAACAATCATTCTGTCTCTCCCAAGTGCTTCCACTGTTCTCAGCACTAAGTTTGAGAATAATTCAGTGGACTATATGACATTTTAATGGTCAAGAAATTACTTCTTTTTAAACGTTTCGGTTCAATATACTCACCTGTGGGTCAAACTTGCTTTTAATTGCACCAGGAAATTTTATTTTCCTAATTAATATTTACGTGCCTCTTTGGCAATTGATCAATAAGACTTGCTGGGATATTATATCTTCAAGAAACCATAATGCATCATCTATGTAAAGGGGAATCGTTACATTTCAGAGGGGGGTGTACGTGTACTTATTTATGCTGTGTGCTGTAATTGTTCTATGTAAATATATTTTACATGAATAGTTTCAGGATTAGTTGAACTGAACAATAAGCTAACATGTTATAATTAGCGTGTGCGTACCCTTAAATCCACGCCAACACTCATATTTATAAAAACTAATGTGGAAAAGTGCTTAGCGTCAGGTCAGGGTCTGAGCAGACGTACACACTTTTTCTTGTTCGAGTACTGCAGGTTTTTGAAAATGTATGTACGTTCATTCTATGAATCATGCGTACGCATATTTGAGAGATGATCGTAAGATCAATTTGGATGGTTTCTGCACAACATTTTAGAAATGAGGCCCCAGATCTGTGGACAGAAATTCAAGCTGAGGATTTTAAATCCTTTATTAGAGAGGATAGGTATAAATATAAAATGTAGTATCTAACAACATTTACTTACTATAGTCAAAGATGACTTCTTGTTTATCACGTCTTTCTTCAGGTAGATTGTGTGTTATCAGCGGCTCAGTGTCTCTCCCATATTGTTGAGCTCATGAATATCAAGTCTGCATTTTCCCAAAGAGATCTCATAAATCAAACATATACGATGAAAGGTGAGCACTAGCCAATGGGATCACTGATTTTCGCATTAGTCCCGCCCACTTCCAAAACAACCTGCTTGCAGATGCTTCACCTTGGCCTTAAACGAATAGTTCACCGAAAAATTAATTTTTTGAAAACAAAAGAAGCTATTGTGATGAATGTTGGTAACCAAACAGTTGATGGTAGCCATTGACTTCCATAGTCTGGGAAAAAAAATAGTATGGAAGTCAATGGATATACCGGAAACTGTTTGGTTTCCAACATTCTTCAAAATATATTCTTTTGTGTTCAACAGAAAAAAGAACTCGGAGAGGTTTGGACCAACTTGAGGGTTAATAAATGATGACAGAATTTAGATTTTTGGGTGAACTATCCCTTTAAAGCCTTTGTTTGTTTGTTTGTTTTTTGTTTGTTTTGCAAATGGTTTTGTTCACATATCAAACATTGATTCACATTGAATAGCTCACAACATAGGCAGCTGAGAAATCTGGAGGCTAAGAGCAAATCAAAACAGAAACACTCAAGAGTAACTAGGCAAGGACTAGACTAGACAGTTAATCTACAGCCAGAGAGAGAATCCAACGGGAACAATACAAGACTGACTAGGCAAGAGAAGTGCTCTAACTGTTCAACTACACCCACAGAATAAACAGACTAGAGAAACAAGACTAGGCTAGATCAACAGGCTGGAGCCGGACCAGCTGAGGGAATGATTCACCAAATAACTGAGAACGAGATGAGAATATAAAAGAGAGAAATGATTGCTAGAGAACAAGGACAGGTGGGAATAATTATGGTCAAGGCGGCTGTGAATCAACTCAACACAAGAGAGTGGGGATCATGGCCAGCTCAGAGTAAGAAACAAGACACAGGCAAGAGAGAGAAAAAAATGGATAAAGCACACAGAAAGACACACAGGGGGCCAATCTAGCCTGGACAACAACAACCTAGTTATTAAATAATGCTGCAACACATGAAGATTCAATGAGTCATGAAGACATGGCTTGGTAGCCTTCTCTGCCATCAAGCAGCTCAATTTTCTTTATTAATAACTATGCCTTCATAATAGTAAGGTTTTTATTGCAACCACTGAGTTTAGAGAATTTGAGAATTCATAGAATAGAATTTACAGAA